AGTGTTGATAAAGCGTTTTTGAAAAGGTTTTTGAAAATTGTTTTGTGTAAGTGTAAAAAGTTTATTTTTTGAGCATAGCATCTAGGAACTATCTAATTTACTCGAAAGGTTCGTTCTTTTCCTTCTTTCCTTTAGACAAGACTATCCTACTATTAGTGAGTAGGTAGCCCTGGTCGTTTGGATGTTTGAGGGACATTTGAAGGGATGTTTATAGTCACGAAGGCAACTTGGCAAGAAATCTTAGTAACTACCCTAGGATGTTAAGATCATGTTTACCGAGGAAACATCGAGAGGGTCATCGAGGGACTTGTGATCTTTTAAACCGGAGGATAACCACTAAAATCTCCCACGTTTCGAGAGTTGTGACTATTTTCCGAAGGCAACTAAAGTGGGAATACCCTAGAGGTGTACATGTTCAATTGTGTTGTATTTCAGCTATTTATCTTGTGTTAGGTTTACTAGCGTTTGATTATTATTCTTACCATACAATCCTAATTAGCATACATCTAAACAGTTAATAATTTACGGAAATTTAAAATGCAGAATTTAAAGCTACGCTATTACATGGCTTCAGGGAGGGGGATTATTACATGTCCAAATTTGGGGATAAAAACAGTAAATGTCCTAATTTAAACTATTACATCCTAGTAAGTAGATACAATAATATGAAAAAAAATAATACTAAAATAAAATCGCGCGCGAATTGGACATATGTCTAAATCCTAGAAAGAAAAGTCTTTTTGTTTGTTTTTTATTTAATAAAAGAAAAAGAAAAATCTAAACCTACTTAATTGTAATTTAAAAAATGTTTAAGTAATTAATAATTAATTAACGAAATTAATTTTAATAAAAAGACTAAAACCTAATTTTTTGATTTAATATTGATTTGGAGAGGAAAGCCATTAAAAGAAATGAACAAAACAAAAATAAAAATATAAATGATCCTTCGATCCAGGGAAGGATTTTGTCCTTCGATCCAGGGAGGGAGGTTGCTTTTCGATCCAGGGAAGGAGGTTGTCCTTCAATCCAGGGAGAGATGTTGTCCTTCGATCCAGGGAGGGACGCTATTGAAAGCGTATGATGGATTTCCTATGGAGGGTACTGGATCTGTAAGAAAACAAATAGAAAAAATCATTGCAAGAGGCATGGATCGAAACCCCTACCTCTGCACACACACAACACTTTATCCTTCTTGCCCCTAATTCGAATCTTCTGACCTCGGGTCTAAGCTTATTTTGACTCGAAACAACCTAAACCCAGGGATTCGAAGGAAATCTCAGATCATGCCCTAGCAATGGAACGATCTCATTCATGTTAAACATGTACTATCAATAGCCCTGAACATGGATCAAACGGTTAAAAGTATTAATATGCCATGAAAATGCAGTTTTTTTGGATTTGTAAACCTTTACCAATTGAAGATGCGTGGATTTGTGGCTTTAAGCGTGGAATTGCTTTCTTAGGAGCCTGGAAGTCTTCCTTGGGATCTCAGGAGAGGGATATGATGTTTGGTTTTGAGCGAGGAGGCCTGCAAAGTATGCTTCGATTCTTGCAGCTTTGAGATATTTTTATGATTTTCGTGTGGCTCTTTGGGGTGATTTGTGCGTGTAGGCAAAATGTTCCTTTTTTCCGTTCCTTGGCAATGTATCTTTAGCTCTGTATTTATAGAGGACAGTGATGAATGGAAAAGGAAAGAGACAGCCATTAATCAGGCTTTGAAGGCAGAATCGGAAGCCTTAAACAGGTTGCCTTTTTTGAGGATTTTTTACCTTTTTGGGTTTTGAATGAACCTGGACAGATTTCACTCCTTGACTCCTTCGAATGCCCTCAAGCCTTATTCTTCAATTGGCTCTGAGTGGCTTCCTTCAATGGCTCTGGGCTTCAATTCTATTTGTTCACGGTTTCATCCTCATGGCTCCTTCGATTGAGTCCATTTATGTTGGTTGTTTGACCTGGAAAATTCTCCTATTAGCCCAATCGAACACTTCCTTCTGGCCAGTCGAAGCTTCTTTTGTTATTTCTTTCGAATGTAATTGTGCAGGAGGCTTGGGCTTGGCAGCATGTAGGACTTTTGGTCAGCAAGCATCTTTAACTAGACTCATCAAAAATACAAAACAAAACTTGTTTCCAACAATTGTGTGTCCTTCGAATGGACCACATGTGTGTCCTTCGAAGGTATTACTTGTGATTTTCTTTGAATGGGTTAAATGTATGTCCTTTGAAGGCACTACTTGTGAGTTTCTTTGACTGGGCTAAATGTATATCCTTCGAAGGCACCATTTGTGAGTTTCCTCAACTGGACCACATGCACCCCTTGTGCGCTCTTCGAATGGGCCAAATGTATGTCCTTCGAAGGCACCACTTGTGAGTTTATTTGAATGGACCACATGCACTCCTTGTGTGTTCTTCGAATGGGCCACCAATGTGTGTTTATAATGTAGGAATTATATGTTGAAGGGTTCAGAGGTGGAGTCAAAGCTAGCATGAGGGAAGCCACTTCTTTGTGAATCGAAGCACACATGAAAGAAGTTCTTGCCTTGTGAATCGAGGGAAAACCTGAAGGAAGTACTTGCCTTATGAATCGAAGGCAGGCATGAAGGAAGTATTTGCCTAGTGAATCGAAGGCAAGCCTAGAGGAAGTATTTTCCTTGTGGATCGAAAGCAAGCACAGAGGAGGCCTTTTCCTTATTGATCAAAAGCAAGCATAGAGGAAGCCTTTTCCTCGTGGATCGAAGGCAAGCTGAAGGAGGTCAAAATCCAATCGAAGCTTGGGAAATTGAAGCAAACTTGCTTTTCTTCGATTTGATGCTTGAAAGCCCAATATAATCCATGGAAACTATATGGGGCATCAAAATCCAGTTGTATTTGTGTAAACTTGGACTTTTGAAAATCCTTGTGAGAAAATGTCTTGAGAAAAGTGAGGGAAAATTTTGTGGTACAACGCACACAAACCGACTTTTGGCAATATTTTGTCAACATTTTATCAAACTATAATCCATTGAGTGACATGTACTTTTTAACTTTACCAACTCCTTTCTACTACTACCACCCTAAACTTGTAGACAGTTGTCCTAAATTTAGACCATCATCACTTTCATTTAATGCATCACCCTTCTTGATGCTTGGACGTTTGGATCTTTCCCCATCGACACTTTTTGTCCCCTAGACAAAAGATAAGTCATCTTTGTCTTCCTCCTCGTGAGAGTTCCAACCTTCATAGTCTTCACTGGAGATCCGCCCAAATTCATCACTATTATTTGATTCTTGTAATTTTATGAAAAAGAAATCCTTAAAGACCCATGGTGATCTTCCTCTACCTTTATCCTGAATATCTCCTCATTGATGCATATGTTATATGTTTTGTTTAATATCATGTTGTATTTTGTTTTCTTGAGAATCCTTGCTACACCCATTGTTTCTTGTTTTGTTGTTACTTCATTTGAACATATATAGACTCCCACCAGTTTGCACATGGATTCAAATACCTTTGGAAACCATACATCGCAAGAAAATCCGTAGAATCTCAACCATGTCATCCTTTCATTGTCCATGTTTTGTGCTTTACATGGCATAATTTCTTTGAACCACTGCCCAACCCACTCCCTAGCTTCCTCTATTAATGCTTTGATCTCGCCTTCCTCTCTTTATTCCAACAATGATAAGTTTGCACCCAAAGATGTCACTTTAAAACTGAAATATCCTTCCCCGTGAAAAGCATCTTGGATGTTATAGGCCATTCTTGAGTTTTCTACCACTCCCACAAATGTCTTTTTTAATCTAGACAGTTCCTCATCTTCAACCTTGCATTCCAGATGAGCAAAATGAATCTTTTTCTCCTTTGAACTGGTATTCACAACTCTTCTATTTGTGTTGCCTATGTTGTTTCTTAACACATGCGCGTATGATTTTCTCCCTCTTACCTTCTCCACGAGCTTCACCTTGTATGGTATCTCCTCTGTTTGCTTCTTACTTATATCTTTGTCTTCTTTCATACCGTTGATTTCCCCATGCACCGCCTCCCTATTAAATCTGCGTACATTTGCATGTATTTTCTTTTAGTCTAAGATGATATTATCCAACTTAATCGCTAGCAACCTTTCATTCTACGCATTGTTGCATCGTGCAAACCCATGTCTCTTTTCTCTCTTATCTCTCCTTGATGGTATGACAACTTCCAAAATGTCTCTGAACTCTTTGAAAACAGCATACATTTCTTTCGCACCATAATCATCTGGTATTTCAATGAAGAAGAAAATGATTTGTTTCTGTTCTCCTTTGGGTTTCTTATGGGTCACCTTCTAAACATCTCATTTTTCACGGTTTCTCCTTTGAAAAGCTTGCATCCCTCTATTCCTCTTAACCTGAATCCATTCCTACTCCCTTTTGTCTTCTTTGTGGTGATACATCTTATCCGATGGCGTCTTCATAGCGTTCTTAATATTTACAAATTTAAAATTTAAAAAAAAAATATTATCATTTTTTTGTTAGAAGAATTATTAGTGTTTTTATAAAAAAATGCTCTTTTTTTCATCCTATCAAAATGTTTTTAAATTAGATGACAATTTAAGAGAGAGATTAAAAATTAGATGACAATTTAAGGGAGAGATTAAAATCATGTTTAATTAAAATATAGAAACTAAAATTATAAACTAAAATGAGAAAATCAAAATTGCATAGAGTCGTGAAAAAAAATTAAATCTTTCTCTCAAAAAGGCACTTTAAAAAAAATCCTACAAGTAATTTTTTGCAATATTTTTTTTTTTTTTTAAAGTTACGAAACTATATTTTTATTTCTAGAATAATTTCAAAAACAAAATTACCAAGTAATGTAACATTTCTTAGCAATGTTATAAACAAATTTTGATTTGACATTCATATTCCATCACACAGCATCATCTTTTACTATAAGCTCTTGTCCTATACATGAAGCGTCCCAACATATATAGTTGCATAAAATGAAGAATATTGATAGTTTTTTCTTTCCCATCTTTTTTGTCGACTCACATGAAGCTCTGGTTACTTGTTTCACCTGCGCCACTACTATTCAAATGTATGAAAAATCAGATTCATCGTCGAATTCTGAAGTGATTAAAAGATAGTATTTGAAACAAGTAAGAAGGGTACAATTAGGGAAATAAAAGTCACCTCTTGCGCTTGGTTTTGGAGCCAGTAGAAGATGAGGGATTAGTGTGCCAATTCCTTTTTCTTTGATTAATGAACCAGTTGTTTATTTGCTTTAATTGAAGTCCTGTTTCTTGGACCAACCTTGCTTTGTCTTCTTCCTGAAAGTACATTCACGAGTTCAATATGATTAGCATTCATGGAAGAGACAATTGGCCAGCAAAATCAAGGTTGCGGAGATGAATTCTTTATTAGTTACTCCCTCAATCTCACTAATGAGTGATCTATTCTACTATTTCACACGTATTAAAAAATGTAGAAAAATAAGAAGAAAAAAAATATTTTTAGTATAATACTTCTAATTATATATTAGAATTGATGAAAGTTTAATTAATTAGAAAATAAAATTAAAAAATATATATATTAAAATTTGAAATAAATAATTCATTTTAAAATATTATTTTATTCTAAATAATTCCCTCATTATAAGACTGACTGAAAATGTATTGGGACCTAACATTAACGCATTATCAGTTCACTAGTAATGCTTGTCTCCTTGGTCATTACTAGTTGTACTGAAAAAATAGAGGCTCTAAGATAAAGCTGAATAGAGGTTTCAAGTCACTTTAAGAATTCAAATAAGAAAATTTTATTTTATTTTCTAAGGACACATTGAAATTTTTAATGTAGAGTTTTTATTTTGTAAAGTATGGATTAACTTTGATAAAAATTTGACGTTTTTTTTTCAATGTATTTATTTTTAGTATTATTAACATATTTGAGATAAAATTATGAGGGTATAAATCATATTGTAATCATTCCTTCACTTTCATATTGTAATGAGTTCTTCCAAAATTAGTTAAAATAAAAAAAGTCGTGAGTTTTTAAAATTTGGAAGTATAAATTGAGAAATGTAATTAATAATATAGATTTTTATATAAATTATATCTTGTAGTTTTTATTTTATTTTTGACATGATATTTTATGTAGCTTGTGGGTTAACTATCTATTATAAATTTTATTTTGATAGATTGATTTACAGTCCATCTTACATACTCTAAATTCGGGTCTTCTATATTTATTTCTAATTTGAATATTGAATTAAGATTTAAAAAATTATTAATCTAGAAACTTAATACAGTTATCTCAACCCTTTGATTTTCAAACGAAATAATATTATAATTCAGAATTTATTATGAAAAATAAATAAAATCTAACTAAATATTGTTTATATTAGGATTCAGAGTCAAAACCTTTCAAACAAATTTTCGTTAACAAATACTCCATTATTAACAACTTTAGGCCAACTACTTGCTTAATAAGTATACTATGAAATAATATATTATTTCATTTTTAAACAAAATAATTTTTATTAATCATTTATAAATGTATACTAAAAGCAAGGTAAGAAAACCATATTAATTTAAGAGTAAACTTTTAAATAACATATTTAACACTAGATTCAAATTAAATTAATAAACACTTATTTTAATTAAATATAAAATAATATGTTTCAAAATTAAACTAAATATGGACTCCTCCAAAATGAGTAAATATATTAATATAACATTACATCTCTTTTTCTTTTTTATATTATAAGGTTTATTATTTTACTAACAAAAATAAGAGTTTATATTTAGATTTTTCTAAGGTTGATATTAGAATGTCAAATTAAAATAATATCATGTAACTTTAATTTCACACATAATAAATTAAAATAATTTGCAAATGAGAACTTAGACAAGTAAGTTAAACAAACTTAAACAAACATTCAACTAAAAACTTACAGTGGGATAAGGCCATTTTGAGTGTGACTGCCACCAAGCTTTCAAAAGGGAGGTGGTGTCACCAGGGAGCTTTCCCGCTCTTCTCTTGCGTAGAATTTCTTCTCTTATGTCCACAATCTTACTCTTGTAACCCTGATTCAAATACACAGATAAATTAACTATGCAAATCAATCCAATCTTATTCAAAGTAACAACAATTACTAGGGTTGCATTGCATGTTATATATAGTTACCTGTTTTAGCTCATGCTTTAACTCCTGCCTCACACGTTCCATTAAAGATCTTTCACTTTCAGTAGGAACTAGTGGACCAAAGCTGAGACTATCACCGCCATCAAGGCTTCCTTCGTATAAGTTTGCATTGCTCTCTGCTTGATCATCTTCATCGTCCGACATTGTTGCACCGGTTCCTTCACCTGGAGATACACCTGTTCATGCATGCACACCATTTATGGCTTCATCACTTTTATTCCTATGACCAGTAGTCTTCAATCTATTAATTTTCATTAATAACTCATATAACTTCTACATTGCACAACTTATTCAATAATATCACTAAATACTTGAAAATTAACTTACCAGTCAAGCTTTGTAGAGACTGCTCCAATTCCCAACAAGCCATAACAGCTTCCATGGCATGAACACGGACATGCTGTTGCAATTGTTCTTTAAAAGCACAAAGCAGGAGAACATAATGCGTCTACAACAAATATATTGAGAACCAAACATTTAAGTTAAAAAGCATAAAATATTTTAGTTACATTCATTTTTGTTCAAAAATAAATTCCTCCATAGAATTGGGTCTACTTGCGGAGACTAGTCTTACATAATAACCAACTCTAGTTTTGAATTCCATCTAACTAGCATGCATATAGTAGTAGGTTAAGCATAAGCAAAATTTAAATGTATAATGTATTATTTTCTTTATATCTCCTAGTTATGTGTTGTATTAAATTAAATATAAGCAAAGAAAGTTGTATATTTGTTCAAATTACACCAAGTATATGTTCAACTTTTTGTTTTATATTTAATACCAAAAAGAAAAATAAGGATTGGATTAAAATATATAATTGGTTGTTGTACCAATAGATATTAATTATATGATTGGTTGGATTTTGAAAGTGTGAATGATAGCGACGGAATCATCCACTTCTTGCAACATGAAGGAATGATCACAAGAGGACATATATGTAAAATATGCAACAGATTGAATTACTCGTAGCACTTTTATTTCATAAGTGTTTGTTTATAAAAAGAGTTAGCATAGCCATTAATAAGCTAGACAATGATGCTTCCATCAATGCAAACACAACCATCAAAGAATTCAAAAGTGAAAAACATTTAACAAAAACACAATTTTCTGAATCATAAAGGTTACAGGTCAGGTAAAAAAGAATACAAAGTTGATCACAAGTCACAACTTTGATTAAGATGTTAGAAGAAAAAGTAAATTGAAAACCTCACACACCTGCAGTATCCTAAGTTAGACTCATTTAATGACTCTCTTTTTCTTACAAGAAAAAAATCAGATTCATTTATTCATACCAGCTAGATTTACTGAGGTCCAATATTTATTTTTAAACTATAAAAATAAAAAGAATGTTACTACTTTTTCCACCATCATCTTTTTCTTTTTCTTTATATTTAATTCTGCAACAAACACCTACTACAATCATGTAACTGTAATTCTACCCTAATCAATTAACACTGCCCTTTTACTGTTCTTTAAAGTCTAAACAACAACAAACCCCGTAAAAGCAGGAAAAAAGATCCAAGTTTCACATAATAAGAGTAAAATATATTTTTCAATTAAAAAACTAAAGAAACAAAAGCACCTAAATCTAGACTAAATACATCAACTGTATAACCAAAGTATAATAACAAGCATGGTTTTGATAAACTTCCGAACACCCCCCAAAAACTGTATTAGAAAGTGATGATCCTCATACAATTATTCACAGATAAAAAATAAATTGTGGCTAACCGCAATCACTATGGTAACACATATACTTAGGTGCGACCTTTATTTAAAACCTTATTACCAAGTTATTAAAATCGCAAATCAGCTTAATTACAAACCTAACATTATTACAGTATTGATATTTTAAACAGTTGGTTAATTAGGTTATGCGCAAACAACAATAAGGAAAGAAAGACAGACATAAAAATCAAATCATTCAAATTTCAAATCCATTATTGAAAAGTAGATTAAAGAATAGTGATAGTGGGACAATTGAGAATAATAGAATAAATTTGCATGTATGAGAAGATACATATTATATTTATATGATTGATGTTAAATAATAAAAACAAAATTAGGTTTGAGTTGTTGTTGTAACTAACCATGAATTGATCAAGCTCCTTCTCATCCACAACACCATTAGCAAGTGAAGAGTACTTCTCCACCACACGCTGCGACTGCTGAAGCTGTGCGTCGATCCGAGGAAGCTGATCAACCGGCGTCGCGATTCGCAAGCATGAGACGTGAGCAGATAGAAGCTGATCGTAGAGAGGATGTCCAAGAATATCTGCTTTGTATTGTGATAACTCTTCTGATTCTATGTTGCTGCTTTCCGTCCGGTTTCGATCTCGGTTTTTTTCCATCATGTGAATTCCTCTTCCGTCGTCGTTTTGCGATGTGTCGGGTTGCAGGTGGAGGAAATTCTGTTGCCGTAAGTTTACGGCGTTGTTGAGCCAATTCGGCGCTGATCCAGCTCCGGCGCCGGTGAATGGAAGTAGCCTTTGCATGTCACGGCTTTGATTTAGCTGTTGATCTTCTGTGAATGGCTGGAAGTTGATTTCGTGTGAGAGATGGTCGTGATGAAAAGCCATTTGTTTAATTAATCGCTTTTCTTTTAAGTTTAACCTTTTTTTTTTCTACTGCGAAATTGTCATGGCAGAAAAAATTAGGGTTGGAAATTATGGTGGAAAAATCACGGTGAGAATTGAGGAGATAGAGGTGAGTAGAAGAAGGGAGAAGAGGTGTGGAAAAGCACTTTTTAATGGGAGAAGACTTTTTGAAAGAGGAAGACACGAAAATCGAGGGCTATTAGAGTGGGAAGGAATCTAAAGGTTGGGATTGGTGATAACGTGCAAGGGTTTGTGGGGCTACCTTATTGGAGATTTTCATGTCATGTCATTATAATAAGACAAACATTTATCAATGATACTTATAAGTTAATATGTACTCCAAAGTTGTAAAAATATTTTTTTTGAAATATATGTATTTAATATTTTGAAATTTTAAATATTATTTTATTATATTTAATTTAATTTTTTTTTAATTATAATATTATCTTAAGACATATGTTAGCATGATTTTATTTATGATATTCTTATTTTTAATTATGCCATTCAAAAACTGTTAAGTACATTTATAAAAATGTTTTATTTTGTGTCAATTTATTTTTCTTACTGCACTCATTTGTGTCTAGTTCAACAGATTAAAGAATTTATTTGGAAATTTAAAAACTAATAAATATAAAATCTTACTCTTCTTGTTCTCCTAAAAATAGAGTGTATGTGTCATCTCATATGGTTTGAAGGTACTATATATAAATTATGTGAGATGACACTTACATGATAATTTAGGTGGATGTACCGTCTCATTTGAATTTTTTTGTTAGTCTTTTATAAAACATAATTATTTGTGAAATTTTCTCTAAAATATAATTATTCGTGTATTTTTTTTCAATATCTTGTTATTTCAAAAAAAAAATTCTAAACTTGTAATGAAAGAGAGTTTGATATTTATTATAGGGTATTTATTATGGATGTAAGAGTCAAGAATTCACAAGAAATTTTTTGAAATTATGTGATGGAATTTGAAGGGTGAAAAACAAGAAAATTTTCAACATAAGATCTTGAAGGGAGGGTACATTCAATTACATAGAAGTGCAAATGATATGTGAAATAATATGTTACAATAGATTATAAAAGTAGTTAAAGAGATGTTGGGACAATAAATAGATTTTAATAGATTATACCAATCTTTAAGAACCAATTAGAGAGAGAAATATATCACTACTCCGTAAAAGATTTCACAACGGTTGGAAAAGAGATATCACCACGGTTGATTAGTCATAGTAAGGTATGGTGGTTGTAAGTATGATTCTTTTCACCACAGTTGTGTGTGAAGATGCAAGAGACACAAGAAATAAGGGGTTTGGATTGGCTTTTTAGAAATAATTTTTTTCCGAAACCAAGCACTTGAAGTTAACACAAGAACAAAAATAAATGAACATAGTTATTTTTATCCTAGTTCACTGTTAAGGAAGTTAATTCATTCACCCGCCAAGGTGGTGACTTATGCTTCTAGATAGCTGAAGATTCATGAAAGGAATTACCCGACTCACAATTTGAAGTTAGCAGCAGTGATTTTTATATTGAAGATTTTGAGACACTATTTGTATGGTTGCTGATTTGAAGTATTTAGCGACCACAAGAGTTTGAGATATCTATTTGATCAGAAGAAGCTTAACATGAGACAGAGGGAATGGTTAGAGTTATTGAAGGACTGTGACTTTGGCTTAAATTACCACCCTGGTAAAGCTAATGTTGTAGCAGATGCTTTGAGTCGGAAGGCATTGTATATGTCTGCTTTGATGGCAAGGGAGTTAGATTTGATCGAGCAGTTAAGAGATTTTAGTCTCGCTTGCAAGGTGACTGCTAGTAGTGTAAAGTTGGTCATGTTGAAGTTGACTAGTGGTTTCCTAGATAGATTAGAGGGAAGCAGAAAATGGATGTGGCTTTGGTTGAGCGCTTATCTTCCGTTGACCAGAGTACTGATGATGATTTTCGAGTTGATGATAATGGTATTCTAAAGTTTTGAGGTAAAGTTTATGTGTATGATGCACCAGAACTGAATAAAATGATTTTAGAAGAAAGTCATTGGAGCAGTTTGAGTATTCAGTCGAAAGCTACCAAGATGTACCAAGACCTAAAGAAAATGTTATGGTGGTCAGGAATGAAGAGGGATATCACACAGTTTGTGTATTCTTGTTTGACTTGTGAGAAGTCAAAGATTGAACATCAGAAGTCGTCTGGACTAATGCAGGCGTTGAATGTTCCTTATGGAAGTGGGACAGTATCTCGATGGATTTTGTGACCGGGTTGTCGAATACTCCAAGGGGAAATGATCCAATTTGGGTGATTGTAGATAGACTGACAAAATCGACTCATTTTATACCGATTAAGATCAGTTTTCCCTTGCACATATTTATTGAGATCTATATTAATGTGATTGTGAAGCTGCATGGAATTCCTTCGAGTATAGTTTCTGACAGGGATTCGAGATTTACTTCCAGATTTTGGGATAGCTTACAGGATGCCTTGGGGACTATGTTGAGATTAAGTTCTGCTTATCACCCTCAGACAGATGGTCAGACTGAGAGAACCATCCAATCCCTTGAGGACTTATTACGAACGTATGTGTGGGAGCAGGGAGGTGCTTGGGCCAATTACTTACCATTGATTGAGTTTACTTACAGTAACATTTATCATTCTAGTATTGAAATGACACCATTTGAGACTCTATGTGGTAGGAGATGTAGGAATCCTCCATGTTGGTATGATTCTAGAGAGAGTAATGTACTTAGATCAGAGATTGTGCAGCAGACGACTGAGAAAGTCAAAATGATTCAGGAGAAGATGAAGGCTTCACAAAGTAAGCAAAAGAGCTATCATGATAAGCGAAGGAAAGATCTTGAGTTCCATAATGGTGAGCATGTTTTTCTAAGAGTCACTCCTATGACCGAAGTTGGACGAGCCTTAAAGTCTAAAAAGCTTGCTCCTCGCTTCATTGGACTTTATCAGATCACGCATAAAGTTGAAGTTGTTGCTTACCGTGTAGATTTACCCAATCACTTTTGAATCTGCATGATGTTTTCCATGTGTCGCAGCTTCGGAAGTATATTCATGATCTATCGCACGTGATCCAAATGGATGATGTGCAAGTGCGGGATAATCTCATTGTGGAGGCTTTGCCTATTCGGGTTGAGGATCAAGAGGTGAAACAACTACGTGGTAAAGAGATTGTCCTTGTGAAAGTTGTTTCGGGAGGGCTTGTTGGAAGTAGCATGACCTAAGAGTTGTAGAGTCAAACAAAGGAATCTTATCCGAAGTTATTTTCGTCAGGTGATTTTCGAGAGCGAAAATATTTCTAAGTGGGAGATAGTTGTAACACCCTAACTTAATTTTATTACTTTATTAAAATATTATTATAAATGATGTATTTGGTTCATATATAGGTTATGAATAAAGTTATTTTCGTGAGGTGATTTTCGAGAGCGAAAATATTTCTAAGTGGGGGATAGTTGTAACACCCTAACTTAATTTTATTACTTTATTAAAATATTATTATAAATGATGTATTTTTAGATTCATTGACTAAATGATGTATTTGGTCCATATATATAGGTTAGATAATAATATTTTAATAAAGTAATACATAATTTTTAGATTCATCGAATAAATGATGTATTTGGTCCATATATTTGGTCCATATTATAGACCAAAAAGAAAGAAAATCAACCTTAATATATTGCATGATTTTATCATATATTCCCTCGATCCCACAATGAGTATTTGAAATAAAATAATATTTTAAAATGAATGATATATTTTAATTTTCAATACACTTTTTCCAATTCTACTCTCTAATTAATTAAATTTTTATCATTTCTAATACATAATTAGAGATATTATAGTAAAAATATTATTTTCTCTCTTATTTTTGTATATTTTTCTTAATATATGTAAAATAGTAAATTGGGCCATGCATTATGAAACGGAAAGAATATTATACTTCTAAAATATTTTCAAAAAAAAATTATAAATTGTGAAACCAGATTAAATGCATGTGTAATTTTTTTATATTAACACTTATTGACTTTTTATAAAAAATTGTAAAAGTTATCAATTTAATAATTTTTAATTCAACTCTTGAATTGATAGAATACTTTTATATAAGTAGATATATCTTATAAATATAAAATATATCATTATGAGATATTTTTGAGTTAATGGCTGACTTGAAGTAAATGATTGAATAATAACATAATTTTATTCTATGATTGTTTATTTTGAGAAAATGTATTAATATATTTTGGGTTTAGATGTTAATGTCTATATGATTATTTTCGAGTTTGTGATATAAATGCATGATTATTGTTGTGTTTATGGCTGAATTGTCATTGAGCCGCATGCATTCATGTATATTGGAGTTTAGGTGAGACTTCGGTCTATTTGGTGGCCTCAGATCTATTGATGGAGATCATTAGTCTCAGTGGAAAAGTCCAGAGGCGGATCTTAAATCCATTGGTGGGGATCGTCGGTTTGGTGGAAAAACTGAAGACCGTTGGATTATATATCCATACAAAAATTTGGTACCACATTCATTTAGGTGATAGTGTTGGAGTTCTTTACATTGCATAAGCATTATAACAATATTGTTTTTAGTGTGGTTGGTTGTTGTGTGTTTAAATTATCATCCTGTATGCTTAATTTCACAGTTATTACATGTAAATATATTGTCACCTCTCTTTTCTCTTTGGTTGTTGTTGTTACCCTTCGGTAATACAGGTGGTCAGCAAGAGTGATAGCATTGTGAGTACTGTGTGATGACGTTTTTCTTTTTCGATTTAGTTTAGAGGAATAAAATGTTCTGAACTGTAACACTATGGGTTTGGGATGCTTGTGTTTATTTCTGTGTATTGGATCATAATCCTCATATGGATTTATTTTTTTGAGATCTTGTTCAGAATAATTAGATGTTTATCTTTATTTTCGATGTGGTTTCTTTAAATGCATGGTATTTGATTGGAGTATTGTGA